TGCGCGCGCGGTTTCCCCGCGTGGTATTTGATTTGACGCGGATCGCGCCCGCCCCCCCCAGCGCGCGCAATGTCGTCCGAATGAGGTCGACATGCGGCGCGAGGGGCCCGTTCGGCAGACTTTGATGAACACGTCGGAAAACCGATTTCCCCCCCTCATGGAATCTGCATGAGCGCAGCCGCAGGCTTTCATATGTTGCGAAATCCTTGTGCGAAATCCAGTTTGGTAATCCTTTTTGCGAAACCATGTGTTTTAAGATTTGTTTGGATAGTCGATTTCGAAATCCTTACGACGCCGACTGTTTTGAATTGATTTCGGCATGCGCGCGCGACGACGCGCGCGCGTGCACTCCGTCCTGCGTTGTTGAAAAAACGGTTTTTGCGGAAACACGCGCGCAAAAAGGGGTTCGAACGATTTCAACATGCGCGAGCGAAACCCGTATAGTTGCATTGTATGAAATGTTGAAACATTTGCGGTTGTTGTAAGAATTCGCAAGAGCGCGCTTTATTAAACGACAACCTTAGTACTGCGATACCACTTGTTCTTGATATGTTTTTTGGACACTCGATTTTGGAATGCCTGTGGCACCTGAGGTTTTGTCGGAAGGATTTCGGCATGCGCGCGCGACGACGCGAGCGCGTGCTCTTCGTCCTGCGTTGCTGCAAAAACGGTTCTTGCGGCAGCACGCGCGCAAAAGGGGTTCGAATGATTTCAACCTGCGCGCGCGAAGCCCGATTGGTTGCATTGTATGAAATGTTGAAACACTTGTGTGTTTTTCTTTTGTTTTAAAAAGAATTCGCAATAGCGCGCTTTATTAAACGGCAACTTTAGTGCTGCGATACCACTTGTTCTTGATATGCTTTGTGGGCACCCGATTCTGGAATTCCTGCGGCACCTGAGGTTTTGTCGGACGGAGTTCGGCATGCGCTTGCGACGCCTCGCGCGTGTGCGTTCCGCTTTTGTTCTCGCAAAATATGGTATGATTTGTGATAAACGAGTGCGCGTGTATGGTTTATAGTTTTTTTCTCGCAATGGTTGACGGGTGGCGATGCAGGTGTAGCTGGGATGATTTCAGTTCATAGTTAGGATGGGCGATGAGGCATCATCCCATGCAAGTTGCAATACGAAAAAGTGAGCCGTTTTTTTTTTTTTTTTTTTTTTTTTTTTGTTTTTTTTTGTTTTGTTATATATATATTATATATATATATATATATATATATATATATATATATATATATATAACAGAGAATCTATGTGACGGCGGCGGCAGCGACGGGCGGCATCGCCCGCAGAAACCGCCCATCGCCCCGAGCGGCGGCGACGGCGACGGCGACGGCCTCGACGGGCGGCACCGCCCGCAAAAACCGCCGCTCACCCCGAGATGGTTACGGTAGGTTCGTGTCGTGTCGACCGGCGGCGACCCCGCCAGCGGCGTTCAACTTTGAACGCCGCGGGCGACCCAGAATCGTTCGATGGGGAACAATTTGGACGTTTCGGAAACGGCCGATCGTTCAAGGTTGAGCGATCCCCGCGGTGTCAGAAACCAACGCCGAAGTCGGCACGACACGGATAAGTATCCCTAGGCGCAAGCACCGTTTGGGGAATCCGAATCATAGTTCTAATGGCAACAGTGGTTGTAGCAGTTCTGATAGCCATAGGATTGCTAGTGTTCAAAACGGTGAATCGCAGCTTCTAGTACGAATTCGAACACCAGAAGGGGTAATGTTATCGTACCAGTAATACTTGTAAGGGTACGACGAGAACCAGCAGTAATCTTAACATTCGAACCGGTGGACATTTTACGACGAACCGTGCTACGAATCATAGAGCTGATAAGAAAGGTCATGAGAAGGCGAATAATTAGCATAACCGTAGTACATCGAAGAGTAGTGGTCAGACGAACAATATGCACGTCGAGGGTCTTGACTATTCGGTGTTATGGCTGCTCCATATGCTCCGCTCCATCGCTCCTTCACAGTGGTCTTGTGAATGCTCATACAACGTTAGCGTGATTGGAACCTGTTTGTACATTGTCTTTATTCGTGTATAAACCACGGTTGTCTGTATATGTATGTGTGCTCCCATTCGTATGTATTTGTGCGGACTCCTACGTGTTTGTGTCTGTGTGTAGGCGTGCGGACGCCAAAGAAAGTGCATAACACCTTCGAGAGGGTATCATATATTTTCTTTGTCAGAGAAGTCGAGTTGGAGTCCAAACGCTGGGACCGCGAACCGTGGCATCCCACGCCCCTCCCTTGCCCATCCGCGCTCGCCCTGGATCCCACGAGCCTCCCCAACGCTAGCACGACGCCCCCAATCGAGCTCCAAGACAGCCCTAGGATACTCGAGGAAGAGCCCCAACAGTCCCCATACACTCTAAGCTGGCCCGCTTAATATTCAATGTCCCCCTATACTGGCCCTGGACGGGCAGCTCGGAGGTCCCCAGTGTTTGCCCACTGCCTCCAAGTGCAGCCGCGACGGGGTCGTGGGGCTCCGTGCTCCGTAAGGTTTGGGGGTATTGTTGTTGAATTCATAACGCGGTAGCTTCAGATGGCTCAGGCGCCTCTAGAAGCCAGTGTCCCCTTGCTGTTACACGCCTGTCGTTGAAAGTAGGTATTGTTTCTGGATTCCCGGATCCCAATCTATTTCAAGCGTCTTCCTACATCAAGAATGGACATGCTTTTGCCACGTGTTGTCATTATCTGGAAGGGCCTGAACAAAGCCTACTTTGTCCGCCTTCCTACTTCATGTTCTTACCTACTTCTTCCCACCGACGTGTACTTGGAAGGTTTCCCAGAGGAGTGCGAAGCGCGCATGGTTCTAGCAAAACGAATGTGCCTGGCGCTACTGCGAGAGCGCACTTTGAAGACGACCAGCCCTGCATCCTTGAAGTGCTGAGGGTTTTCAGAACGAGTGCGCGCGTCGCTCAACGCGAAAGCCACATCTGAAATGATCGCCCCTACACCCTTGTTCGGCCACGCGCAGAAGGGAGGTAGGGGGAGGGGGGAAGGCTTCTTAGAAGCACCCCTGCTCTTAGACGGCGCGGGCCTTGTCTGTAGAAGTGAGGCCCACGGCTTCTAAGAAGCAGCCTCCTTCTAAGAAGCCTTCCCCCCTCCCCGTGCCCCTCCTCTGCGCGCCGCCAAGCGCCGCTGAACGCGAAAGCCACATCTGAAATTGTTTCCCTTCCACCCTTGTTGCAGTCTGAGTGTCAGGAGGTCTCGAGGGGAACGCCCGGCCTGGCTTGCGGACCCGTCTGAGAGGAGCTCGCTCGAAGAAAGAGGGATGGAAGACGAATGAGGACAGGGGAGGAGGAGGACAGGGGAGGAGGAGGAGGAGGAGGAGGAGGAGGAGGAGGAGGCCAGAGCAGGGCCAGATTAGGGAAGGCTAGGAGGAGGACATCACGAAGGAGGGTGCTGGAGGACAGAGAAGAGAGGAGGAGAGGAGGGGAGGAGGAGGAGGAGGAGGAGGAGGAGGAGGAGGAGGAGAGGAGGAGAGGCGGAGGCGGAGGAAGGAGAAGGAGGAGGAGGAGGAGCAGGAGGAGGAGGAGGAGGAGGAGGAGCAGGAGGAGGAGGAGGAGGAGGAGGAGAACGAGGATCAGGATTGGATTGCGCTTTGTCTGAAGGCTGGTCCATCTGCCAGCACGGGGCGGTGTGGAGAGGAGCCGCAGCCTAGGCAAGACCCAGGGACGCGCAGAACCCTTGAGAAGTTTCCAGCCAGACCTTGTGCGGGGAGGGGAGGGGAGGGGCTGCAAAGTGCGGAGGGGGTAAGGGAGGGGAGGAAAGTAGAGGAGATGGGGATGGGAGACGAGGCCAGGTCTTCGAAGGGGAGCCAGGCATTGACGCATTGTTGAAGTAGTAAAGCCACCACAGGCGAAACGTCGAGGCAGGCCTGGATGTGATCATTTCAATCGAGGCCGTCGTCCGCAAGCCAGGGAGCCCGTCCGCGAGGTGACGTGTATTTGACGCTCGTCAGCAATCAGTTAGAGCATCGTTTGGAAGTCTCTCCCCTCCCTCGTCGTCGTCCTCGTTGTTTTCTGCATTGCGATCCCTTGTCTTGTCCGCGTGCTTTCCCTCCTCTTTCTCTTCCGACTTCGCATCCCCCGTATCCCCCCCACTCCTTGCAACCATATGTTGTTTAGCATCCCCCTTAAATCCCCCCTTAATCCTGGGGCCCTGGAGCGGGGCTGGCTCAGCGCTCGTAGCATGACTATTTTTGGCGGCGTCGCTGGTGCCTGCGCCGTGGTCGCTTCTGTGGCTTTGGCGCCTGCTCAGCGATGGCTTCGACTACTTCGTGATATTCTTCGTTGATTCTCTCATCTCACATCAGATCGGTCGCCATCTTCTTGTCAGAGGGCATTCGTGGTGGTGTGAGCGTGAAGGGCACTCTACTGCGGATGGGATTTGTTGTTGCAGGGCACTCTTGGATGCTCCAGCTAGGTCTGAGCCTCGAGGCTCCAGTCTTATTCAAGGCGCTCCTTGAAGATCTGCGTACGTATTCTCAACTTGGGTCTCGGTGCCACTGTGTCACGTTTGCTGTGAGAACGCTTCTCATAGCTGTGAGGGCACTTCTGAAGGATCCAGCTTGAGTTGCACGGCGGTGGTGCGGCCGCGGTCCCGCGCGCTTCTTTTCTAGTCGTTTTGCCTCCTGTCGTCTTGTCTCGTCGTTCTGTCGCCTCCTCGTTCGTTTCCTGTCCTCCCGCTTTGTCGTTTCTGCGCTTTGGGCTGATCGTCGCTTCCCCCTCGGCCTCGTCTTCCTCCTCTCCCTCGTTCCCTCGTCGTCCCGCGAGGGGCGCGAGAGGCCAAAAGGGGGGCGTCGACCCCAACTTCGGCCCCGTGGGAGACAACCGATCCCTCCTCGCAGGCATACGGTATGCAACAACGTCGAGGGTCGGGAGAGCGGTCCCCGTGGTCTTTGCCTTCTCCGCCTGCTCTCCCGCGCCTCGTGCACAGCGATCTCTGGCCTCCGCCTCTCCGGCGCTGCCCGTCCCGGACGCCGGTGAGGTCGTGTGCTTGCTGGCCGCGCCAGTGCTGCTCTGCGCCTGGCAGTGCTGCAGAAAGGCCCGGGTGGGTGCGGAACGCGTGGGGTGCGAGCTGCTCCCCTCCTGCTCCGCGCCCTGGGCGCTCCTGCTCCTGCGCCTGCTTCCCTCCTGCTCCGGCTCCTGTCCGACGCTGCTGATGCCGATCTTCCCGCGCTGGACCTCGGGACCTCGGTCTCGGACAGATGCGGAGTCTGTGAGGTGCGGCTGCACTTGGCGGGCCGATTGTCCATCCTTGCTTCAGCTGGAGACCTGCCGACCTCATTCGGCGACGAGGAAGCTCCAGGAGGCATGTGGTCGGCAAGGGGAGACAAGTACAACACGTATCACCTTGTCTCCTTCCTCTCCTGCCCCTCCCTCTCCCCTTTCTATTCTTATTGCTCCCTCCCTTGGCGACCCTCATTCTCTTTCTCCTCCTCATTCTCCTTCTCCGCCTCCTCCTCCTCCTCCCTCCATTCCAAACATCTCGTGGCACTTACGCGCAGGAGGAGGCTTAAACACGGAGGAAGAGTGGGTGGGGAAGGGGTAAGTGGAGGAGTGGGGAAGACGGAAAGAGGAGGGAGGAAGGGAGGAGGGAGTAGGGGGACGGAGGGAGGAGGGGGGAGAGTCGGATTTGGGCTTTTCAAATGTGGGGCAGGCTTCATCGCTGAGATCCCGGGTGGAACATGGGAGGGAGGTGGGCGGGCGAGAGATGGAAGGAGACGGAGGGGGTTAGCGAGGAGGGAGAAGAGGGATGAGGAGGACAACGAGGTGGATACTGATGGGTGAGGGAGGGAGTGAGGGAGGATGGAAGAGGAAGGAGGACAGATAGATGAGGGACGATGGGCGAGGAGAAGGGAGGGTATGATTGAGGCAACAGCGGTCCGAGACCTCGAGCTGGAAAGGGGGGATAATCGAGGAGGGGGAGGAGAGCTCAAGAGAAAGGGAGGAGAGAGGGAGAGGAGGGGGAATATAGTCCAAGAGCGCGCTGTCTTGGACCGTTTTGGGCCGGCTCGGTAGGGAGGAAGAGGATGAGGAAGTGGAAACATAATAAGATACGAGGAAGAGGATTACCAGGATGACGGAGGAGGGATGATAGTGTTGGTGCTGAGGATGTTGATGCTGCTGATGACGATGACAATGCTGATGGCGATGATGATGATGATGCTGATGCTGACGATGGTGATGATGATGGTGATGATGCTGATGATGATGATAATGATGCTGATGTGATGGTGATGATGATGATGATGCCGTTGATGATGATGATGATGAGGCTGATGCTGATAATGATGATGATGATGATGATGATGATGATGATGATGATGATGATGATGATGATGATGATGATGATGATGATGATGATGATGATGATGATGATGATGATGAGGATTATGATGAGGATGCTGATGCTGATGCTGATGCTGCTGCTCTTGATGCTTATGATGATGGTGAGGATGATGAGGATGATGATGCTGATGATACTGATGCTGATGATGGAGAGTAGTGATGGTGTTGATGCTGCTGCTGTTGCTTCTGATGATGGTGCTGATGCTGATGCTGATGCTGATGCTGATGCTGATGCTCATGACGATGGTGATGGTGATGCTGATGCTGATGATGATGCTGCTGCCGATGATGTTGATGATGCTCATGATGATGGTGATGATGTTGATGAGTAGCCGTAGCAACCCTCAGAGTCTTGGGACATGGCCAGAGGCCTTCGTCGTGATTGGCCCTCCGCGTGACTCTGGGTTTGCCTGGTGGCATTTGCCAGCCCCCCCATTGTCCTCCTCCGCTTGGCTCCTCCCTCCTGTTGCACACATCTTCGACGGCACACTACTTCGAGAGGAACCGCGGGCATCAGGCTTTCTTAACGCTGTCGTGAGGGGGGGGCGAATTGTAGTGGCAGCGCGAGTCCTTTCACTATGCCGGCTGAGACGTGATAGCACATGATGGGGGTGTGTTTCATGGGGGAAACGATTGCCGTCGCACCGTTAGTCGCGAATCATCCTGGCGGTGGTTGATGAGGGCAAAGCCTTTCCGTCGTGATTCTTGCGCGACGCGAGGATGTCAGGGGCGCCCCACCCCGCCCCAGACATCCTGTGCTCAATTTGTTTCGATGCGTGGGCCCCCAACGGTCTGGACAACCTCCCAAGAGCCAGTTGTTCGTCCCGAGTCGTTCTCTGACGGCTCCAGTGCCCGTTGAGGGCCCCCGCAGGCAAACATAAGACCGATCTGGCCGCTCCATCTGGCCGCTGCCCCAGTTTGGGGGTGGTGGCCACGAGCGTGTGGTCGCTTGCCGTCCGCTCCGCTTGAGGCCCGAGGACTCCGAAGCCTCCAGAGTGCCCCTGGCCCCCCCCCCACCAAAAAAAAAATCGGAGCCTTGGATCCCTGGGGATGCTGGTGCAGACTCCCGTCGTGATTCCGTCGCGGCGCGGGAGTGCCTCTTCGCTCTCCCCTCGGCCCCGTCCCGACATGCTCATACTGCGTGCGCGCCAGCCCCGCCAGGGCGACGCGCACGCTCAGATATCCCTGTAGCATGGGCTCCGTGGCGGGCGCTCTCTGGCCATACAGCTCGGGAAACGATCTCCATACATATATATATATATATGTATATGTATAAATGTGTGTGTGTGTACGGTAACGTTGTTGTTCTACAGGTTCGTGTCGGTCGCGCGCCTCCAGCATCAGCTCACAGTATCGGCACAGTCGAGTATCATATGAAGAAGCCTCCTCCGGAAAAGCTTGGTCAGTGTTTCTTGAGCACCCTTCGGGGGTTTCGTAGAGGGAGGGTTATCCCAAGGTGGGGCTGGGGAACGGGCCCAGCTGGATGCTCCCGTTTGACGCGTTTCCTTCTTCCAGGGGCCGTTCGGAGCGACTGTTCCTTCCAACCCCACCTTTGCCCCTACCCCGCCTCTGTGCCCTCCGGAACCTTGCTGGAAAGCTGGCCCAGCTTCTTGATCACGATCGTCCCTCCAGCGTTCATGGCAGACATTGGCCAAGGTCTGCTTTACGACACCCGCGGAAAGCTGGCCCAGACTTCTGGAATGGTCAGACTCTTTATTTCATGTTCGGTCTTAGTATCAGTATGTCTTTTTTCCACCGCGAACACCCATCAACAACATCACCCGTTCCCGTTGTGTGTCGAATCCGCTTCCCCTCAAGGGGGCTATAACCGCTCCCAATGAAGAGTCGCTTCCACCCCTTGGCAACGAGCGCGGACAGGGACTCAAACCGCTGTGAAACTCCATAGCTGCAGAGGTCGAAAGTGGCCAGCTGGTCGAACAAACACAAATAGATAGTGTCAGTGCACGCCAGTCGTCAAACGTCAGAGTGAGGGGGCCGAACGGTCATTCTTTGTCCCTGCGTTTTTGGCTGAATAAGGAATGCGTGGTGAGAATTCTGCTTGTTGTGTTGTCGTTGTCGTTGTCGTTTTCGTTGTCGTTGTTGCTGTTGTTGCTGTTGTTGCTGTTGTTGCTGTTGTTGTTGTTGTTGTTGTTGTTGTTGTTGTTATTGTTGTTGTTGTTGTCGTTGTTGTTGTTGTTGTTGTTGTTGTTGTTGTTGTTGTTGTTGTTGTTGTTGTTGTTTGTTGTCTTCGTCCCACCCGCGACCTACCCGCGACCCACCCCGCGACCCACCCGCGCCCCACCCGCGACCCACCCGCGACCCACCCGCGACCCACCCCGCGACCCAGCCCGCGGCCCACCCGCGACCAATCCGCGACCCATCTGCGACCAATCCGCGACCCACCCGCGACCCACCCCGCGACCCACCCGCGACCCACCCGCGACCCCCGCGACCCATCCTCAAGGGAGGAAAAACCACCCGGACCCGACAATTGACGTTTACTAAACGGCCCTGGGCGTTGACTAAACAGCTCTGCCTTGTTCGATTCATTCTTTGCGTACTATACGGCTTTGCTTGTCGGGGTGATTATTATGGGGTGGATGTTCTGCCCTCTGCACCCACGACCCACCCGCGACCCAGCAGCGACCCACCCGCGACCAATTTGCGACCCACCCACATTGGTTGAACGAAAAAATCGGCGCCTGCGGCGGGCTCGGTGTATGATTTATGAAACTTTGGCGCCTGCGGCGGGCTTCTCCAGCGTCTCGCAAACTGCCGACGTCCCCACCGCCCCCGCATCTGCGGGGTGCTACGTAGATCTTTCTGGATTCCCAGATCCCAACCTACTTGAGGCGCCCTCCTGCTTCAAAAGTCTGGCTGTTTTCCCTCTCCCTGCCTCCTCCCGGCGGCAGGCGGAAACCCAATCTCAGATTCCAGCGCCTTCCTGTTTCGGGTTTCTGCCCCACTTCTTCCGATCGGCGGGCATGTCCTTTAGGGGGCCACATGCGAACCCTACCCCTACCCCCCACGATTTCATAGGGGGAGCGTGAGGTTCACTTCGCTCGGGAGCTCCCGAACGAAGTGAACCCCACCCTCTCCCTCAGAAATCGTTGGGGGTAGGGGTAGGGTTCGCATTGGGTCCCCTGTCCTTCAGCACCGCGCCCCTCCGAAAAGGCCGCGCCCGCCGTCGCGCGGCGGCTCGGCCGCCCCGCCCGCGGCGGCGCGGCGGCGGCGCGGCCTGGCCTGGCCCGCGGCCGCGGCCAGGGGGGCCGCCCGCGCCGGAGCGCGCGGCCTCGCGCTTCGGCGAGTCGGGCCAGCGGTCCCGCAGGTAGGAGGAGGAAGAGAGGAGGATGAGAAGGAGGGAAGAGGAGGAGGAGGAGGAGGAGTAGGGGAGGAGGAGTGAGGAGGAGGAGGAGGGCGAGGAGGAGGAGGCGGAGGAGGAGGAGGAGGAGGAGGAGGAGGAGGAGGAGGAGGTACAGTCGGGGCGCTGAAGAAGGAAGCCCTTTTCGTTGGGGAGGGGCTCGGTGTTCCGTGGAGGTTCCAAGGGTTGCCTCGGGCTTTCCGGAGGTTTTCCACGGGGAATCGAGGTTGAGCTTGTGGGAGAAAGGGGCCTCGTTCCTTGTCTGGGGTTCCTTA